TGGGTTGGAGTGGGTGTTTTCTAAAGACACGGCTGCTTTGAAAAGCTGAATGTCATCCATCTCGCTTAGCTGCAAAAATGAAGTCCCGTGTCCGAGAGTTCACCAAGAGCATGTTTTAGCATGATGGTTACAGAGAAAAAGAAAGTGAGAATCTGGCAAATTGGCGCAAAAACTTTACACTTAACTCTTCTTTTTCCCCGGCCACACACACACACACACACACACACACCACTTGCAATCGGTCAGCGTCCCATGAGCAATGCTTATTTTGTTTTGGGAATGGAGCTTCGGCGTGCTTTCTCCCATCTCCGCATTCTTTTGGTGGTCTTGAGCTGAAGTGACTTGCTTCCTTCCTTGCCCGGCACAGTGTGGATCCCAGACACACTCACTCACTCACTCACTCACTCACACACACACACACACACACACACACCACTTACATCCTCCCACATTCCACTTCTTCCTCCCTCCCCCATTGCACATGTCAGGCAGGCAGGCTGGGAAGTGAAGCAAGCAGAATGTCAGCCATGACAAGCTGGTGTCACTTTATTAATTCCCCCAAACCAGGGGTAGGCAACCTTGGCTCTTTTATGACTCGTGGACTTCAACTCCCAGAATTCCTGAGCCAGCAGGGGGGAACAATGGCCCCTTCATGACTCGTGGACTTCAACTCCCAGAATTCCTGAGCCAGCCATGCTGAGGGGAAAGGGAGAGGTTTCCAAGCTGAGCCATGCTGGCTCAGGAATTCTGGGAGTTGAAGTCCACGAGTCATAAAAGAGCCAAGGTTGCCTACTCCTGCCCCAAACCATTAACTCGCCTAGCATACCTGCAAAAGAATCTTTTGTCTGTGTGTTTGTTTGTTTGTTTGTTTCATTCTGTTTCTCTGCTTCTTTGCTTCTGAAGACGAAGTGGCTCTGAAATTCGAAAACGGCCAGGTGAGAGTGCGGAATCTGGCGTTTGATACCCTCCCAGTTGTGATTCATGGAAACGGACCCACCAAGGTAGGCCACAATCCCAGCTCCCTGGAACTAGACAGCCTTTTAGGATGTGTATGCAGGCGGTCCTCAAATTACAACAGATCATTTAGTGACCGTTCAAAATTTACAGATTTGCAGCGAAGTCTTCCATTTTCTGCTGCTTCAGTGGCTTGGAGGAACTCTGTGCTGCCGAGTGAACACGCCGTCTCTTTCTCCTTTTTCCCATTCTTGGTAATCCTGGCTTGTAGAGTTGTTAAAACGTAGGTAAAACAATGCTAGCCTCTCCAGCATATATCCTTTATAAAAAGTCTTTGAGTAGGGTTAAAACAGATTTAACAATAGGTTAACAATGGGTTAAAAGTAGGTTAAAATGCAGTGTTAAAAAGTTAAAGGAAAAGAAAAGAAAGCTTTTACTTTTGGAGGAGCTCTTTACAGCCTTTGCTGCCTGTCCACCGTCTTGGCTCCTCCAACAAAACCATTGTAGTATCCCCCCCCATGATCATGTGATCAAAATTCAGACGCTTGGCCGCCATGGGCTCGTATTTATGACGGTCGCAGTGTCCCAGGGTCATGTGATCTGTTTTTGCGACTTTCTGACCAGCAAAGTCAATGGGGAAACTAGAGTCACTTAAGAACCATGTGATTAGACTAGGACAGGATAGGACAGGACAGGACAGGACAGGACAGGACAGGACTAGAAATAGAGTAAAGTAGAGCAGAGCAGAGAGAATAAGAATAGAATAGAATAGTACTGGAATGCGCAGAGATGGACAGATTGACTATCATCAGATAGTCGCCCGGCCGCCCTCTTCAGGGTGACCCGCTCCCTCCTTCAATTGAGGGGGGGGGGATCCCCTGGAGGGGAGGGCCGAGGATTTCGCTCAATATCTGTATGACAAAGTCGCGCGGATCCGGGAAGGCTTAGACTCCGACTGGTTGGCCCAGGGGGAGGGGACAGAAGCAGGTCTTGAGATGGTTGTATGGGAGGAGTTTGACTCTGTGGCTCCCGAGGACGTAGACAGGGTCTTGGGGAGGCTCAATGCAACCACATGTTTGTTCGATCCGTGTCCCTCCTGGCTGGTACTGGCAGCTCGGGAGGGTACACGAGCCTGGTTCCAGGGAATTGTGAACGCTTCTTTGCAGGAGGGTGTCTTCCCTGCGGCCCTTAAGGAGGCCGTTGTGAGGCCCCTCCTCAAAAAGCCTTCCCTGAACCCAGATGAGTTGGCTAACTATCGCCCGGTCTCCAATCTTCGCTTTA